TTTCTATGAATCTAGTAAACATTTATGATCCACTGAGGAGGATCTTCTCTTTATCTCACCACTTGCTCAAGCACATTTAGTGAGAACACAGGACTTTTCAATGGCTGCTCCCAGACTATGAAACTCCTTCCTAAGAGAGACTGAAATGGTCCCATCCCTGCTTGCCTTCCAAAAGCAGGTCAAGACTTATTCTGCAAGCAGGCATTTGGAGAAGTTAAGGAGCCTATTGCTGGGGAGGTTGGGTGTGGGATTTTTGGGGGGATTGTGTATTTGAAATTTACAGATCTGGAGCCACCTGGGGGAGCATGGGCCAGTTTGTGGGAGGAGGCAGTAGCTGTAGATCTTGTCCGGTTGCCAAATCCCACTCCTCAGAAGGATGATGACATTTCCTTCTCCTCCTGTCAATGAGTGAGACTTCAATAAAGCCTTGTAACAGGGATCTTGCTTTGGATTGTGACAACCTCATTCAATGGGGACAAGTCAGCATCGGGAAATGTCCATTAAGCTATTCTCATCATTCAATTGACAAGGTGGCTGAAGCTGAAATCCAATAACATTTAAAGAGTCACCGTTTACTCAGTCCAGTGCGAAACATTCCTTCTGCCCCTTCAGTCATTTGTTCCAGGCATCTCTGTGTACCTGTCTCACTTCTAGTTTTGGTGACAGGCAGGAGGAAGTAAAATGTGGTTAGAGCAAAAGATTTTGGAAAGGTTTCAGCAGACCACTAGGACTTGCCTTCCAATACAGAAATATATTAATATATGAACCAGTGAACCCTCTGTGTCTAGTTTAGGAACTGACTAGTAACCAAAGAACAACTGATTTGAAAAAGCATTGCCAACACAGCAACAAAACCTAGTCTCTGTCAACATTGAGACCAGGTCAATACACTGAAATTTTATTTAGGAAATACACATAGTAGCAATTTTAAAACTCCTCGGAGAGTTTCCAAAAACAGTCCAAGAGCTTAGGAAATAGAGCCTCGGTTATCCGACATAAACAGGCTGGCAGAATGTTGGATAAATAAACATGTTGGATAACCAAGACTCTACTGTAAGAGGTGGCCAGGCTCCTGCTTCTGCCTTTGCCACTCTTCTCGCTCGGTTGCTCGCCTCCCCCCCCCCCACTCGCTACTCACCAGGCCGAGTCCTGGTACTGTTGCCAGGACCCGGCCCGGTGAGTGAGCAAGCGAGGGAGGGCAAGTGAATGAGGGAGGGCAGCAAGGGCAGCAGCGGAGGCAGAAGCAGGAGCCTAACTACCTCTTCCAGGCTCCTGCTTCTGCCGCTGCTTCCGAGACCTGAGGATGCCCAAAACAAAGCCCTGTGGAGGCAGCAGTCACAATAATAACTCATTAGGAAAATAGCTTAAAAAATAAAAAAGATAAAAACATGGAAAAAGTATATTAAACTGCAATAACAGTAAAAGCTGAAAAAATTGCATATTTTTGTTGAGGAAAATTACAAGTGCCGAGACTGAAGGAAATATGTGATTTTAACTTTATATTAATATGTTTTTAACTCCATGTTTTAATGGTTAAATGTTGTTACGTTTTTATGATCTAACCTATAGCATGTGAGGCATTAAATTTTGCCATCAATATGTTGGAAACCGCTTTGAGTCCCATCCCCCATTCCTCCAGGGTGAGAAATGAGGTATACAAGTTGTGTAAATAAAATAAATAAATAATAAATAGTACTACCCTCTGCCACAAAAACAAAGTTTCTGGCGTATAACAACTCCTTTTAAAGTAAGTACAGCACAATTAAACAGGAAATCCTGGAACAGAGGCTTTTCCCCAATTTCGTTACATAGTGTAATGTGATAGTGGAGTCTGCCCTTGGAGAAGTTGGGAGCAGAAAAAGAAGCATTTCCCGTTTTTGAAGTGAGGGATCAAACAGTCCTTGTAATCCTTTTCAACACTGACAAACAAGTTTTTCTGACTCTCTGACACGGGGGCCCTTATTTCTTTATTCACTGGCTGTCCCAGCTTCCTCCATGGCTGACTCAGGACAGGCGAGAGGCCTACATGTTCCAACAGCAGGACTCAAGAATGTGAGGTGGCATGAGGGGGTGACGGCCTGATTCATGCGTCTGAAGCAAGGAGTTCAAAGTTATCAGTGCCCCCCCCCCCATCCTCCTCCCCCTCCCCAGTGATAGAACACCAGCTTCCCCTTACCTTCAGGACCTGAGGCGCCCTAATGCTCCCAACTACGGGGGAGGGCATGGCCCAATCCTGTCAGAACTCCCAGGGACCAGGCCGGGCCTCTCTGGAGGGAGGGAGGGAGCAACTCGTGTCAGGGGGAATCCTGGGAGCGGGGTCCGAGGGGGAGGCAGGCAGGCTCTTGCCCCTGGGTGGGGCTGGCAGCCCCGAAGAGAGCAAGGAGCCCCCAAAGCAGGCCCCCTCCCTTGGGCGTCCCCTCAGAAAGTGAAACCAACTCGTCCCTGGCCTCGCGCTCCTTTCCTCCGAGGCGGGACTCGAACCCGCAACTCTGGGGGTCCCGCGCCCCTCGCAGAAGAACTTCCCTCCGCGGCAGAACTTTTACTCACCCAACTCTCCTCTCCTCCGCCAAGCGCGCTCCGCTCCCCCGCCCGCCCTCACTCACTCTCCCTCACTCTCTCCCTCCTCCTTCCTGGTTCACACGCTCGAGCTCCTCGCCGCCTCGCGCCGGGGGGAGGGAGGGAGCGACGTCAACGAGAGCGCGCAGAGAAGTTCGGCCCTTTTCGGCGCCCGTACCCACCCGCGCGCGCGCAAACATTTCCACCCCTGTCAGGGCTCCGGATTTACTGAGTCCCCGGAAGCTGCTGCGAGGAGCGAGAAGGCATGTAAGTGAGCAGGGGAGAGTTTCTTCCAGGACGCCTTCCCCTTGGAAACAGGGGGGCGGGAGGTGCCGTTCTCCGGCCAGCACTGCGTTCCCAAATGCCTGCCAGGCGGCCTTTTCGACCCATGCTCGCCGCAGTCCAGTGCGGCCTTCCTCAGCGCGCGCCCTTCGGCCTCCTCAGGGGCTGCCTTGGAGTTCAGCTTCCGCCTCGGCCCAGGCCTTCCTTGGGCCCTTCCACTATGTATCCCAGAACATCAAGGCAGGAAAATCCCATATTGTCTGAGTGTGGACTCGGGCCCCTTCCACACAGCTGAATAAAATCCCATATTTTCTGCTTTGAACTGGGTTATATGGCAGTGTGGGTTCAGACAACACAGTTCAAAGCTGATATTGTGGGGTTTTCTGCCTTGATATTCTGGGTTATAGGGCTGTGTGGAAGGGCCCTTAGAGAAGGAGGGGGTAGCCTTCTGGGTTTGCAAATGCAGGGCCCTTCCACATAGTCATACCCGGCCCCCTTCCACACAGCTGAATAAAATCCCACATTTTCTGCTTTCAACTGGGTTATATGGCTGTGTGGGTTCAGACGACGCAGTTCAAATATTGTGGGGTTTTCTACCTTGGATATTCTGGGATATAAAGCTGTGTTGAAGGGCCCCCAGATAACCCACTTCAAAGCAGATATCATGGGATTTTCTGCCTTGATATTCTGGGATGTAGGACTGTGTGGAAGGGCCCTTTTTCCATTTGTTAGGGCCCTTCCACACAGCCCTATATCCCAGAATATCAAAGCGGAAAGTGCCTTGATATTCTGGGAAGGGCAGTGTGGAAGACCTCTTAGAGAAGGAGGGGGTAGCCTTCTGGGTTTGCAAATGCAGGACCCTTCCACACAACCGAATAAAGCCCCACATTATCTGCTTTGAACTGGGATATATGGCTGTGTGGAAAGGCCCCCAGAAAAACAAGGGAGAAAATCCCACAGTATCTGCTTTGAACTGGGCTATCTGAGCACCTTTCCACACAGCTTTATATCCCAGAACATCCAAGGCAGAAAACCCCACAATATCTGCTTTGAACTGGGTTATCTGAACCCACACTGCCAATGATCATTGTAATTTAGAGCCCTTCCACATAGCCATATAACCCAGAATATCAAGGCAGATAATCTGCAATATTTGCTTTGAATGGGATTATCTGAGTCCACATTGCCATATAGTCCAGTTCAATGTGGATTTTATACATCTGCGTGGGAGTGGGACAGAGACACATTTTCCTTCCGAATGGTTCAGTGCACACAAGATTCATTTCATGGATAAAATTATTACCTTCAGAATCTGGGCAAAAGGCCTATATGTTTGAATGTTTATAACTTGAGACCTATCTCCAAGATATCTCCTTGTGTACATTGATGTCAATACAAGTATTTCCAAATCTGAAAAAAAAAATCCAAAATACTTCTGGTTATAAACATTTCAGATAAGGGGTTTTTGACTTGTAATGGCAAATGTCAGCCTAGATCTGAAAGAATAGGCAAAGAGTATGCATTCCACCTGAAGTCCCGTGGCTGCCACCTCCTCCTGCAGAATTCTGGGGATTGTAATTCAGTGAGAACAAGGACCTCTTTGGCTGAGCATTTCAAAGGCCCCTCTCTACAAGCCCCAGAATTCTGCAGAAGGCAGAAACTGGTATTAAAGTGGAAAGATGCTCTACTGTAATGAGTGTTTCAGATGGGATGCATACTCTTTGCCTATTCTTTCAGCTCTAGTGTGATATCGACCATATGTGACTAGGCTGTGTCTCTGAATTTAAAAGTTACTAAGTCACACACAGGACCTCCCCACATTAGATCATGGATCCACTTTAAATCCAGTTTCTGACCCCTGCAGAATTCTGTTATTCTCTGATTCTACACTCTATCTCAAGGCTATGCATTAATGTAAGCTGATAGCTTTTAAACAGTTGTATTTCTTTTCTAAACATACAAAATGACTGATTCCCATTTCTTTCTTTTATTTTCCCCCCTAGGGCTGATTACTGGAAATCACAGCCCAAGAAATTCTGTGATTACTGCAAGTGCTGGATAGCAGACAACAAGCCTGTATGACTATCTACCATACTCTTAAATGAATCTGAAGTACAGGGATTTGAGTTATATAGCTGTAGGTTGACTTTGACCAGTAAGTTAATGCAGCCTTGGAAACAAGTATATTGACAAGTGTTCATCATTTCCCTTCATCATTTCCTGTCAGGCTTGAGACAAGGGACCACACACCCCCATGCTCCATTGTATAGTAGGCTCTCCACTTTTGCAGGACTCTTAAAAGTATAAAAATCGCAAATGAACATCACAGCTTTTGTTTAATGCGAAAGAGCACCTCGCAAGGCATCACTAGGTCTGCTGGTTGCTGACCATATAATTGTTCTGGGGCACCAGGAGATTCCTATAGAAGTATTACCTCTTGGAATTTTTAGATCCTGTACTATGGTAAATTTCTGACTGGAGTTGACCATAAATTCACCCTGGAGAACTTAGGGATTCCTAGAGATAACATATTAATCAAATCTCTGAATAATCAAATCCCCTCAATTTTAAGCCTATAATGTGGAGAGCCAGTTGTACTGCATTGGCATCCACCCATCCCTGACCTGGCTTCCAAAGCTTTTTTATTCAGATTTGTATTGAATTTGTAAAGCTTTTGTATTCAGATTCATCATGCTCCACAAGGGGAAAGCGACAGGCCAAAGCTGGAGACAAAGGAAGCAAATAAATAGCACTTCTGGAAACAATTACATGGCTGCATTAGCCCAACTACAACTGCATAGGTAGCTGTTGTGCACAATGTTGCCTGTGCTGTGTTAATATTTTCAGATACATCTGGTGAGGGGAAAAAGGACTTCCTACCATATTTGTTTGTATTCACTACAAAAGACAGCTGTGTTTTTTTTATCAGGTTTCTTGGTTGTTGTTTTTTAAATCTGTCCTCAGGCATGGTAATTCTTGTACCATATCCTTGACTGCAGGACAATCTGAAGTTTTCATCAGATTTTATGAAAGGAAACAAGTTGCTGGTCCTTGTGGTTGCAATGGATAATTCTAAAAGGACATGGGTAATGAGGTGATTGAACTGAATGTCAAAATGAAATTAAACCAGATTTTTAGCTGTCAGAAGGCAATTTTCAGTGTGCACTGCAAAGTCCTTGCGTTTTTCCATAGCTGATTGGACCAAAGTAAAGTAGACAATGTACAGTACATTAATGCATGCCCTGTTGCTACATTTCCATGATATGATTAAGATTTGTTGATGTTGTGTGCCTTAAAGTAATTTTCCACTTATGGTGACTCTATTACGGATTTTCTGGAGCTGAAAGTGTGTGACTGGATGAGGCCAAGCGGGGAAACAAGGAGTGGTCTACGCAATCATAATCTAGTACACCAACCTCTATACCATATTAATGTAAACTCAGGTTTGCTTGGTATAAAATATGGGTCATCTTGACATAAACTGTTGAGTCCAATTGTTTTCATATTTTTATTATAAATCAAACCATTGTGCCATTCAGCAGTGCCAAAATCCTGTCACCAAAAATACAGGAATAGTTCTTTCAGTTAAACCGGAATGTTTCAGAATTACCTCAACATGCCTTTCTGCCCCCCTACCCAAAACAGTACTCTACTATCTCGAAATATTTCCTCAAAGAAAGGTGAAATATTAAATAAGTATTATTGTTTTGGGTTAATGCAGTATATATGTACGTAGCAATAAAGTACTAATCGCAACAGTACTTTACCAATTGGTAAAGGAAATTTTGCTATGCTTCTTGAATTCATTGAAAATCTAGAGAAGGGGGGCCTTATAACCCTCTTGGTAATAAATCATTTTCCTTGCTATGATTCGATCTAGCGAATACTGCTGTCCTATTTCTCTGCATATTTCCTCAACTTTGTCAGTTATATCTAAGCGGGTGTTCTTCATTTTCCTCATTTTAAAATAGTATGCATCAAATTTAGCTAGTTAGTTTAGTGTTTCAGAAATAATTGCAATTGAAAGAAAATGGCACCTGTGTTTCCCTCTCTACTATTTGTGATTGTTATATTTAAATTTGCATCCTGTATTTTGAAGGTTAAAACATTTTCTGTTGAACACTGGGTTCCTGGTAGGAGTGCTTTTCCTTAATTAAATTTCTTTAATATTTATATTCAGTTTTTTAAAAAAACGCTGTTCCAGTTTATGTTTCTGTGTGCATTAATTCATTCTCTCTCTCGCTGTCTTTTTAAAGAGTATTGACTTCCATGAAAGAGGAAAGAATCATAAAGAAAATGTGGCTAAGAAAATTAGCGAGGTAATATAAATAGATCCTTATTTATCCTAAACATATTGTTCAATATCCAACAGTGGGCGAAATAGTGAAAGCCAGTGTAAATTGGAGGGGCCAGTGCCCCATCCATTCAGTCTGAAGACTAGTTCTGGGGTCCCAGAAAATATTTCAGAGCAAACAGGGAAGGGGCGGAGAACAGCATCAGAAATGGATTCAGGGGTGAAGGAGGGAAAGAGAGTTGAAAAACTGCTGACAAAATATTGGGATTATTTTAAACTTCAATAATATGGCACTTGCTCCTTTTAAAATTGTAGATTAAAAAGAAAAGTTTGGAAAAGGCAAAAGAAGAAGAAAAAATGTCTAAGGAATTTGCAGCCATGGAGGAAGCTGCGATGAAGGCTTATCAGGAGGATTTAAAAAGACTTGGCGGTAAGGCAGGTAGGTTCTTCGAGGTGAATTATCAGAGCATGCTCCCTCACCGATTCTAGTGAAGGTGATCAAGTACTGCATGGAAGGGGGTTGGACTAGATGGCCCATGTGGTCTCTTCCAACTCTACTGCCAGTCCTCTGTGTCCGTGGATTTATCCATTAACAGCTTGAATGTATTCCACACACAAACAAGAAAATCCCAAAAGCAAACCTTGTTTTTGACATTTTATATAAGGGACAATGTTTTACTATGCCATCTTGTAAAGTAGGAATTGAGTCTCCATGGATTTTGACGTCCATGAGAAGTCCTGGAATCAAACCACAACAGAGACCAAGGGCCCACTCTATTATCTCTTCATTCAATTGCGGTCTAAGAACATTCAGAGACATAACTGCTCACAAAATACATGGCAGTATTGTAACCCTCCCACATCAGTTACCTCTAGCAACTGGCAAGGACAAATGTCAGTCGGTATGTTAATGTTAAATGATGTATTCAATCTATTGTGACTCTCTTTTGAAAGAGTAGTTGCCATGCTTTTAAGAAAGATACATTAATCTTCCCCAACATGGAACTCTCAAAGGCCTAAATCCATTTATTACTCCTGTGCTGTCATACCCAAGCTGCTTTAAATGTTTTTAGTGCTAATGTGTCTTAATTTTCTATCAGCTTGAGGGAAGCTGGTTTGCCTTCCTGGTTGAGCAAGGAACCTCACAGAATCAATGTCCACCCTATTGCTTTAGAGAAATTGTAATGATTTATTGATTGATTTTGGGCCTATCTCCACCCAGGTATCCCCACAACATCTTGGTATCCCCACAACAAAGTCCATACTTAAAATTTGAAGGTAACTGGTTGTTCTTGAAGTCATTGCTTGTTGATGATTCTGGAGACAAATAGATGAAAGTTTCCCTTTCTCACGTTCTCTTGTAAAGGGGCCTCTGGGGCACTCAATGCCCAAGGTGATCACACCGGAGGCTGAGAGAAGAGGCCTCTCCTATTGAGACTTGGCACCTTGCTGAAGACGCTGGAAACTCCACTGGCTGCCACTGACCAGCAATAGATCAATATAGTCAAATGAGTTCCCAGAATAGTAGTTAGTATTGGCTTGAAATGGAGCTCACTGAGACCAAATATAGACACGTCTTGCTTCCAAGATTCCCTGGTGGTAATAACTCTATTCTAAAATGGCTCCCTTTCCACAAGCAAAGGGGTGAGCCAACTCACTGCTCTAAACCAGAATAGTTTCCTTAAACTCCACCCTCATGAAGCTAACAGAAAAATGGCTAATCTCAAGATGTGGGTGAGACTACCTAACAAAAGGAACTGGGACTTCAACAGTTCCACCACAACTCCCAACTAGTAAAAGGGGAAGACCCATTTAAATCAGTAGTTAAATGGCACGTTAGAAGTTAATTCCTTTGATTAAATGGACCTACTCTAGTTAGAATAGAAATTGGCTTTAGGACCTGTTGTTTTGTTATGCAACCCTCATTACTCCCAATCTTCATGTCCAGTGTTCAGATAAAGTCATGGTTGTTCAGCCATGGAAGTTATGGTTGAAATATCTGGAAGATAATGAGTTGGGGAAAGATGCCCTTGATGTAAACCAGGCAGGCCAACTTGGAAAAGGAAGCAGCTCACATTGCTATAATTCTTTCTTATCAAGGTTACATTCAGAATTTACAATGTTTTAAACATTTAAAAACATTTGCAGGATGTTCTTAGCTTAAATTCAAACCACCAAAATTGTAAGATTTTTTTGTTTTTTAAAAAAGCACTCTCCATGTTTCAGAATCTACAGGTCAGAGCGCAACACCAAAAAAGCAGGAAGTGAAAAAAGGAAAGAAAGAAAAGAAGAAAAAACAGACTGCAAACATTTCATCAGAAACAAATGAGTGGGTGCGAGGATTCTCTGCAGAGGGCTATGTGTATTATTACAATACACTATCAGGAGGTAAAAGTGTAGTTTGGAAATAAATTGAAATAATCAGCTATCTGGAAATACAGCTCCCTTCTAGTTCTAATAGATACACATGGCCCAAGCTGAAAGTACCCAGAAAGAATGGGCACATTTTTTTTTCTGAATTTCTACTCTAATGCCATCCATCATTACATAACATCCACATTTACATATATAATTCATATATGTGGGGGGATCAGTGTATAACAGATTTGTCAACTGATTTTTTTATTTTTATTTTTAAGAATCGCAGTGGGAGAAACCGGAAGGATTTCAAGACAATACTGAAGGGTCCCAAACGGTAACATAGTATATGAGAAATCCTTCATTATGTCTCACCTTTGTGTTTCTGGCATAATATAATTTCTCTTCTCCCATAGAGCACACTCAAACCTAAGCTCTTAGAACTCTTAGCATCCTCCTGTTGAAGGTCTTTTACAGTCCCTTTCTGTCTCCATTCCCTGAACGAATCAAGCATCCACTGGCCATGTTTTCGTCTGTAGTTTTCAGTGACCGCAAGAAGGAAGGAGTTCTTCCCTTAGTATTAAAAGACATGCAGGGATGGATCAGAAGAATCCACCCTTATGATCCAGCACTGACTATCTCCCCATTGTTGTTGGTCCGTAGTAAGAAAGATTATTAAAGTGTAGTCTCCTAATTGCAAGACAATGAAAATTGGAACAGGAAAGCTTAATAATTTACATCTACTCTTACAAGTCTAGTTTATAGTTTTCAAAAATCCAAGAGTTGATTCTTCCTGTTCTGATGCAAGTAATTTCTCAGGAGTATGGTTTCATAACACAATATATAATTTGGGCCCCAAACCTGCCCTTAACTTATACATCAGGTCAACTTACACACAAGTTTCCCCCTCTCCAAAAAAAATCAGATCAGTTTATACGTGTTACATTTCTGATGAATTAGAAAAGATATAAAATGTTTAAGTCAGTGAGGAAACTATAGACTTATTTGATTACTTTCATATTATGACGTAAGTGATAGTTTGGTTGATCTTCATTAAATCTGATCATTTTGTTTTCTTCTTTGTTAGTGGATCGAAGGAACAAGCGATAATGGTCTTACTTATTACTACAATACAGAAACTGGAGGTAAATAACAAAGTTGTTTTTTCTGGCTGCTTCTACTGCTGACTAAAGTTTTTGCAAAAGAACTGTTCTTTTGCAGACGATGATATACAACCATTATTTGTATTTTTTCTACACGCACTTGTTGGAAAGACATTATTAGCTGCAGCTTTTGGGATTTATGTACTTACAGCATGGTGCCCATTTATTGCATGGTGTTTCATATAGACAAGGAATATTTTCTGTGTAGAAATTTTATTATATGAAACATTCCTTAGTTTATTATGTCTGAGTAAAGAGTGCAACTGTTGTATGCCACTTGGAATAATTTTGGTACAAAGCACAGGACCAAATCCTTACTTAAGAATTAAGTCTTATTTAGACATGAGAGCTTCATGTGGAAATCACCAAAGGAGTATAAATGTCTCACCTTGGATCTAGTTGGCTTTGCTTCCTCGATTGTTATTTTTGGGGGGAGTGGAGAATGGAGGCATTTGAATCCTGGCTTGTTAACTCATATGCTAGTGTAATTCCTGGCTCATCTTACAGTTATATCTTGGATCTGATTTCCTATTTACTTTGTAATTTTTTTTGGAAACATATTTTGAACAGTGTAATACAAATATATAAAATAATAAGTCTCTGTTTTAAGTTGAGGCAAACAGTATCAGTTGCAATCTGAAACAATGTTTTACAGTAGCAAAAAGGTTATTTTAAGAAAGAAAGACTTTCTATCAAGGACTTTCTATCTTTGGATCCAGCTGTTAATTTTTTTGTACTTGCTCAGTCTAGCTAGTTTCGGACAGTAGAATCGTCATTGATTATGTCTCTGATGCTTCCCTAACTTAACTAATAGCACTAACTTATAAGCCCCCAGTGGTACAGTGGGTTAAACCACTGAGCTGCTGAACCGCTCCGGTGGGAAGGTAACAGTGCTCCATGCAGTTATGCCTGCCATATGACCTTGGAGGCGCCTATAGAAGATGAGCAACACCCCCCAGAGTCAGTCATGACTAGACTTAATGTCAAGGAGAGACCTTTACCTTTACTTTGAGCCTGTTTTCTGTTTTTCCAGCATCAACTTGGGAAAAACCTGATGGTTTTGTGTCTCACTCAAAAGAAAGCAATGAAAATAAATGCCCTTCTAACAACAGCTTAGAAATGGAATCCAAAAGCGCAAAAGAAGATAATGAAAGTGATCTACAGAAGCCAAAACAAGATTTCCAGGTAAGTCATGCCATTCTCCCAATTACTTCTTTCTTAAGGTTGTTCATTAATAAAGCGTTGTCTTTTATAAAACTATAAAAATCATATTTTTAAATTGTAATGTGCCTAAAATCATTAAATAATTGTTGACAGAACAGCTGGGGGAATTTTACTAAAAACAGTATAATTTCTCCAGCTCAGTTGAAAGCCAAAAGAGGGAATAAGGATTCCGGCTCTTTTGGATGGAGACATACTCTTCCTGAAGGTGGAGGAGGTTCACAACTGGGAAGTGCTCCTAAATCCTAAATGTCAGAGTTTAACAGTAGCCAGGTGCGCATTGTGCATCAGTTATATTTGTCCCTAGATATGTCCAGTCTGGCTATTGCAACACATGATTTAGCTCCGGTACATATCATTTCCAATACTATAACATGCTGTACATAGGGCTGCCTTTGTAGAATGTTCATAAACTCCAGCTGCAACCAGGATGTTCACTGGGATGGTTACAGGATACACATGACTCTTGTTGCAACTACTCTGCTACCACTTGGTCAGTTAACAGGCTTTTTATGACCTGTAAAGTCCTATATCACTCAAGGATGATATTGTCCTCTCACAGCAGTGAGAGGACTATATCATCCCTGTGAGCCTTCCTGTGCTTTGTAATCATCTGGGAAGACCCTTTTCCCAGGGGGTAATCTTGGGAGAGGATCTTCTTTGGAACGCCCTTCCTGGAGAGGATAGACAAGTACCCTCCTTGCTGTCCTAAATAATATGGTCTTTATTGGTATGCTGTATTTTGTATTGTTTTATTGTTTCCTTTTACAACTGTTGTGGTTGTAATGTTTTGTGATTCTTTCATTATTTTAATTATACAGGTTAAGTCTCATTTATCCAAAAATCTGAAATATCTCTTTTAAGCAGAGGTCTCCCTCCACCCCAAATCTCTTTCCTCCATGAGAGCTCCTTGTGGAAGAATTCAGCAGGTGCTGGATGTGACTAGCCCCCCTTCTTCCTATCCCCTAATCAGTATTAAAAAATATTTAAAAATCTCAAATCCAAAAAACTTCTGGTCCTAAGCATTTTGGATAGAAAAAATTCAACTTGTACTTCAATTTTTTAATGTTCAGGATTTTTTAAGCTGTTTTGCCGCTTATAAGACATCTTGAATTGCAAGACTGGGAAGGAAGTGAAATTTAAATCTCTTTCTCTATTAACCGGAACTGTTTTTAAATATTTGACATGGAGGGAATACCTTAACGTTGAACAGAAAATGGTTATTGTTCCACCTTTCATTGAATAGAGTGTTATTTTTCACATTTAGAAGAAGACAGAAAAGAATGATGAGACAGAGAAGAAGCCTCGAAAACCAAAAAAAGATAGTCCTTATGGAGATTGGCAGGAAGTGAAACAGGAAAGCAAAGAGGAGGAGGATGCAGCACCTCCTCTGCAAAAACCAACTCGTACAGCATCTCAAACAACTAAGCCTTATGGCGAATGGGAGGAAATTAAAGAAGAGGAAGATCCATAGTAAGTTCTTCTAAAACTTATTTGACAGAATTACAGAGGAATTTAATTGAAATAATTGTCTTTTACGTGGTTAAAATGTCAGAGAACCAACTTAGAATAGTGATGAATGCATCCCTGGTTCAATTCTCATCTTCTCTGTTAGGATATTATAGGTAAGCCAGTATCTGCCTGTCAAAAATGATATTGGTACTTCTTTATAAAGGCTCCCGCTTGGTGTGAATCAGTGAGACTTCTAAATAGGCATCTTCTTTGTCTATTTAGGTGGATTCAACTGAAGCTATTTGCTTTCTGTTCCACGCATAGCATTCAGAGCATATAGCTTCCTCTAGTTGAAAAGTAATTTAATACCTCTTTCTTATCTATTGGTTTCTCCCTGTAATCCTGAAGTATATAGGATGTGCGGGTGTGGATCCCTAACTTATGGATGTATGAGAGACAGCATGCCATCATGGTGTCGTGGTTTGAACGTTGGACTATGACTGGAGACCAGGGTTTGACTCCCTGCTTGGCCTTGGAAACCCACTGGGTGACCTTGGCCAAGTCACACTTTCTCAACCTCAGAGGAAGGCAAGGCCAAACCCCATCTCAGAACAAATCTTGCTCAGAAAACCCCTGTAATAGTTCCACCACAGGTCACCATAAGTAGGAAATGACTTGAAGGCACACAAGAAAAAGTGTGCCTGAGTATTATATATGTCTGCATGCCTCTCCTTCATATCTGTGTGGTATGCATACATACAAACAAATAAACAATTTGGACATTTTTTCTGCTTTTCAGAAGAATACAGTTAATCACTGAAACTATGTATTTATTCAGTTGACTAAACAGAGAAATGCTATCATTTACAGCAAAAACCTTTTTCTTCTTCTTTACCACAATAAGAACTTAAAAAAATTATTGCATTCATGGCTAAAATATATTTTAGTGCATGTCAATCACCTGATGAAGGTGCAAGTTAAAATGCTTTTTAAATAGTAGTATAATTTGTGTCTGTGCTTTTAATCAAGTTTATGTGATAATGATAGGATTTTTTTTTTTTTGCTGATATGGGAAAGAAACAACATTAGGGCTGCCATCTTCAGGAGGATTAAGGATATTTATTCAGGTGTTTTGGATGTCAGTCCCCAGAATTCTTGGCCATTGGACAAGCTGGCTGGGGCTTCTGGGAGTTGGAGGCCCCAACATCTGGAGAGTCACATGTTTGACTTTTCTGCATTAGATAATACTCTAGGAGTCATTATCAGGGGAGCCAAGATCAGTGGGGTATTTTTTCAAGGAAAAGTAGAGCTTATCTGGTAGCATGATGAAGGTTATTGACAAAGGACCTTTGAGCAGGATAGTTTTTATCTTGTCGCTGATATCCATAGGTTTCCAGTTTTATGTAATTGATTTATTTTCTGCTAGTCACTTTATTTCAGCTTGCCTCTGAGTAAAGATTGTGCAGTATTTATGCATGTTGGGGTTTTCATTTGTGCTTTTGTACTTGCAGTACCTTGCTTATTGCAGACATAATGCATTTATTTTAAGAATTTGTAATAATGAGGTTTGTTGTTTTAAATAATCTTTTGTGTTCTTTTTTTTCACTCAGTGAAAAAGTGGATTTGGAGCTTCCAGACACAGAACACGACTCTCCTGCTGCTCCCGTTCTGGAAAAACCAGAGGATGCCAAGATGATATTTAAAGAAAAAACTGTTACTTCTCTTGGTGACACAGCAGAGGGGGTACCTGTTTTTAAAAAACGGAAATTTGAAAATGGAAAATCTAGAAACATACGACAGAGACTGAGTGATCACTGACCATTGAACCTGAAAATCTACACATTACTTTGGTGGAAGAGGAAAAGGGTGAAACAAGGAAATATTTCAAACATTTTCTTTAAAAATGTTTAGAAACCAAGATTCTTGTTCTCTTTTGAACAGTGTCTTTAGTATACATTGTTTTTAGGCAATCCTACTTTTGTTTGATGTAAAATTTGTTTCATTTATGTAGTCATGTAAATATAATATTTTTACATACTGTACATATGAATTCATTTTTTTGTCTTACAATCAATATTTTCTGTTGTGGCAATTCCTAAGTGAAATGCTGCTACAGGAGCTTGACTGCTTTTGTTGTGTCAATTCAATAAGATGAACATCAGTGTTTATTGAATAGATAACCATGGATGGGGTGGGAATCAGATATCATAGCAGCTGATTTTCAAGATGTTATATGTATGGTATAGTTACATCTAGAACAAATCAAGAGAAAGTGATAAACATTCACCCACTTCTGCTTTTAGAAATCAAATCAGTAAATATGTTACCATATATCTCTTAATTCATTTTAGGGATTCTAAAATTTGATAGCAGCTAGTTTCAATCCTTCTCATTTGTTATGATAGATAGTAGCAATATGTCTACAGAGAATGGTATGCCATGGTTAAATTTAAGGATGCTGTAACTGATGAATAGAATTTTGGATCAATGCCATATTGCTTATATTGCCTGTTTTCTTAATTCTTCCTCCAAGCCTTCCTGCTACACTTATGTTGGGTGGCGAGTGCTAGGGTGAATTACCCTAAAATATAGCAGAGCATCCAAAAACAAACAGGATACAAAAGTTGAGCAATAGCTCACAGCTAGCAAAGTGTGAAGTGCCGTGTGATGTGGCTGTAAAGAATTTAGAGCTTAAGCAGGCAAGATGCAAAGTCCAATATTTAAAAATCACAAAGGGTTTATTTACAATAATAAAGAACTAACTACATTTCTTCATGGTAAAGAACTGGGTCTGAGCTACTGTAACACCCATCTCTTCTAAGGTTTCAAGAGAGGGGAAAATCATCCAAGCACTACATATCTCTGACACACATGCAGAGATGTGTGGCAATGTATAGAGCAGAGCCTCTCTTTGTTGTTCCTCTTCTGTGCAGTAAGGGATTTTGCATGGACACGTTAGGTGAAGGTCCATTGTCATCATTTCTTAGGCTATTAAGTCTCCAAGGGAGGCAGAATGCTCTGCAGAAACTTTCTGTAGGCATGTTACCTAGAAACACTGCATTCTTGGGGTTTTTTTCCGTGCTGTCCTTGCAGTTGGTGGCAAATTGGGAGATGGAGGGGGCAATTCTTGCTTTTAAAAACCATAGAAAATGTAATTTAGCATACTTTCTGCCAAATTGTTCACAAGAGCAAACAAATGCCAAATTAAAAGACACAAGTATTAGTTGTGAAATGCAGAGATTTTCAAAGAGAACACTTCCTTTGCGGTTTATTTTTCCCTAGGTCCAAAATGTCATGCAGATTGAGTCCATGGACCTTGAATCAAGAGTCCCATTGTTTCTGCAAATCTTCTAGCTGTTCTTCCAAGCGTCTAGCTTTTCTGTTTAGTTCACCTATTTCTTCCCCGCATCTCCTTACATATGTGTCGAACTCATATGTGTGTTATTCATACTACAAATCTGAAGAATTAATCCAAGCTGTGAAAAGGAAACTAATTACACACTCCAAGGTGTGAAAGCCAGTGGAAAGGGAACTAATTACAGACTTTAGTACTGCCTTTTGTTACTAGGAATTAATGGCACTATGCATCGTGGCTAATATCACTGTGGTTGTTTTTTGTTCTAGTATTCCTCTGATTCTTACTATTCTAAAGATAGCCTGAAGCCATTAACTGTGTCTTGGTAATTCAACCTCATGTGCTAGGAAGCTTTTTCAATTCCTGTACTGTTCCAATATTCCTGGCAAAGTATTGTGTTCAGTTGTATTTATGATGATTTCTAAAAGTTTCCTAAGTTGCGCAAGATTGTGAGGATAAGTTTGTACTATCCCTTAACTTTGCTAGTAATCACTTTCACTATCCTTTCACTCACTTCCACAATAAGAACAAAAAAGGGAGACCCAAGGAGTTTAGACAGGAAATGAACTGCCTTTGTATCCATTAGATAGCTTAAACAAAGTTTTGAATTTAAAACTAGGGAAAGTTTCAGTTTATCTAAGATCAATTTTTATTTGTTCTAATGGAATTTAAAAGATTCTAGATTTCTACTTCCACTCTCTTCTGTGGTTATTTTTCTAGCTATGTGCTTGGAACTATTTTCCATCAGCATTTTTTCTGCCTACAGTTTTATTAGCTGCTGCTCCAATATTAATGCATTGATTACATTTGTTTGTTTGTTTGCAGTATTTGCAGTACCCCAAATGGGACTCAGCAGGGTTCACAGTGTTGGCAACAATTCAATGCCATCGATAAAAAACAGTACAAAACATCAAAATTGACCCTCCCCTGATAAAACATTAAACATTATTAAACACAAACATATCACACAAAAACATCGCAGTTTGTCTATAAAGATCACAACATTAAGGATATGCTTCTTAATTGTGATTATTTTATATACTACTTCCTAAAGATCACAATGACCTTTCCTCATCATAGATTTTTATATTAAAGGCATCATTGCCAATCTCTAAGAGTGTGTGGCTTGTCTAAAGCCATGTCTGCAAACACGTTACTGAATGGACTGTCATTGAAATACGGTTTCAAACTGCTGTACTCAGGCATGAGTACAACTTTTAATCAGGATCAATTCATTGACTGCTGGATAATTCACAGTAAATTGGTAGAGTAAAATGTCACTCATACTAAATTACCACAGGCTGTAGGAATCACTGGTTATCTTCAGTCAAAAAACTTCTATTCGCCCTTGAAGCTAAACAAATAAAATTTTCCTGTGTGGAGCAAAGTGTATTATTGAATGAACAGCATAACTTCAAATGTACTCAATCATGAATGCTAACTTTGAGTTAATATTTTTACAAATTAACTCTTTTAACATGGGTTTTGTTTTAGTTACAACCTAGCAACCCTTTAATCTATTGAAAGGATTGTCTTAACCTAGATAGCTTTTATTAGTTGCTGCTCATGGTACTTCAGGAATATGCAGAGTACAGTAAAGAAAGCAGTGACTGGCCTATAAGCAGGAAAAAGGTAAAACCCAGTGCAAGTTTGACTGAGCTGCAGATTATAAAAGCAGATTGACTCATTATGTCTTTTGAGAGAATATTCACATTTTTTCTTAATTGGGAGAGTTTTCTTGTTTGTTTATCTGGGAGGGGGACTGCTGCTCCTGCTTTAAGATCACCTGTTAGCTTATATGACTATCCTGTTATATCTTTTAAAACAAAGGTATGCCTTTGAATATACAACGATACAGAAAGATGGGATATAAGTCATGGCAGTCTGTGGCCCTCACTACAAATCTGTGAGTTATATTATGCTAGAAGATGTTTAGCCGGAGTTGTCCCAACTGTGATCTTACATACACAAATCAAAATATATGTTTCATTAAAATAAGTGAGAGTAAACATGATTCAACTTGATACCACGGAAAAGTAGAAATGTCAACTTGAGCACTTCCAGCCAAGCCACAAGCTATTATAGGTAAAGGTTTCCCCTGACATTAAGTCTTAGTCAAGTCTGACTCTGGGGGGTGGTGCTCATCTCCATTTCTAAAATGAAGAGCCGGCGTTGTCCATAGACACATCCAAGCATGACTGCATGTAGCACCGTTACCGTCCCACAGAAGCGGTACCTATTGATCTCACATTTGCATGTTTTCAAACTGCTAGGTAGGCAGAAGCTGGACCTAACAGCTTTGAACCACCAACTTTTTGGTCAGCAAGTTCAGCAGCTCAGCGATTTTACCCACTGCACCAGCAGGGCCCCCCCCCCCCAAGTTATTATATATTCCCCCAAATTTACTTTCTTTTGTAAAAGGTCAATAAATGCACTTCAGTTACATAAGAATGAGATCGATCACCCTTTGTGATAAAAAGTAAATAGATTAGCATTAAAATAAAATATACTGCCCGATGGCACAGTTGGTTAAAGCACTGAGATGCTGAACTTGCTGCCCGAAAGGTCACAGATTTGAATCCAGGGAGTGGCAAGAGCTCCTGCTGTTAGCCCCAGCTTCTGCCAACCTAGCAGTTCAAACACATGCAAATGTGAGTAGAGCAATAGGTACCGCTCCGGCGGGAAGGTGATGGTGCTCCATGCAGTCATGCTGGCTACATGATCTTGGAGGTGTCTAAGGACAACACCGGCTCTTCAGCTTAGAAATGGAAATGAGCACCAACCGACAGAGTCAGACATGACTGTACTTAATGTCAGGGGAAAACCTTTACCTTTACCTATGTTTGATGATCTAATGTGAATTTCTCAGATTTGGAAAACAAAACTACGAAAAAGTGAAAAAATATATTGTGGAATACAGCTTGAAACATATACTACTGTTATTTCTAGTGGGACAAATCCTACATTACCATACTGACAACTTTCCTACACAAAATCAGAGGTATTTGTGGCTGCCGAAACAGAATGCCAAACAAAGCCCAAGAGGTAAGTAAATAATTCTCCAGGTTGCTGATTTTTTTCAATTACATAGYRGGGCATCTAATAAAAAGATGAGTATTRSACTGGTTATTTGCAAATCAGTGTTATGAATGTCTTGGGGATATATAYTGATGATAAAACCTAACATGTATATGAGTTTTAAGGTCTTTCYYATGTGTTCTGATCATTTCAAGAGTTCTGAAAAGTGGAACAGTGGTTCTCAACCTGTGGGTCCCCAGGTGTTTTGGCCTACAACTCCCAGAAATCCCACCAGTTTACCAGCTGTTGGGATTTCTGGGAGTTGGAAGCCAAAACATCTGGGGACCCACAGGTTGAGAACCACTGTAGTAGAAAGTAACCTGAGATGTAAGTGGTTGCTCAAGATTAACAGGAGGGTAGAGGGATCTGGACCCATATCACATCTCTTCACATCAGAACTTTWAGAATTATTTTCTTCCCAAGCTCTGGTTCATTTTTCTGTCATTCCTAGTAATGTCATTAATCTAGTATGAAAAATTAACTGCMTTCAGAATGTGACCCAGATCTTTTAAATACATTTAGCAGTTGCTCAAGGAGAAAATTAATGGAAGCCTCGTTCTTCTTCTAATCCCATCCTGGATTAGAAGGAAAAATCCTCCTTGTAACATGGAAACAATGTGAGTTTCCAGTTAAYTGACTCCTATTGRGGGGRAAAAACAATRCTATGTTTTAAGTGCTGTTTTGCCTCCTTAAAGTAGCCTACTATAAGGTACTAAGAAGCAAAAATGTTCATCATTTACTAGGATGCAGTCATTAACCTCAAATCAATGCAAGAACTGGGCAAGCAAATGAGTTTTGAATGGACCATGGTTGCCTATGAGCTGGGATTCAGCCGGGCAGAGATAAACCAGTTTTGTACAGCTACCACTGAAAAGAAAGGTCAAGCCCAGAAAATGCTGGTGGACTGGTAAGTAGGTTATGGCGGAGTAAACAAAAACCACCCAGATTCCTTTTACATTCATGCTGGGCATATGTTTCCTTTGTTTAGTCTTTTTTTTTTGTCCTAAGAGAATTCAGAATTCCAGTATAACATATATCTCATAATGTGTTGGCATATGCAAGAGGGCAAAAGCGGGTTATCTTTAAAGAGCAGTCGTATTCACATGGGGGAAGACAATATTCCCATATCTTTGTGTCTGCTTGAGGCTTTAATTCTAGGACAAAGAGCAGCTGGATCTCCAAATGGTGTTAGCAAAAAGACTCAGCCATCATACACCTGATAAGAACGCCACTTGATCTCAGTACCCTACTTGAAAATTGAATCATAGAGTTGGAAGAGACATTGTGGGCCATCCAGTCCAACCCCCTGCCAAGTAGCAGGAAAATCACATTCAAAGCACCCGCGACAGCCAAAGAAGGAGCCTCCACCACACTCTAGGGCAGAGTTCCACTGCTGAACAGCTCTTACTTCAAGGGTTGTCCTGCATAGAGTGGTTAATAATAACAGAATTTGTAAACTAATTGGTTCAACTAGGTTTGATTTTACTAGGATCACACAAGGCAGCCTGATATAGAAAAAGTAAATTTAGTATTTGCAGTTCAGATTATTTATTGTATCACAAGCAAACTGAGGGTACAGTAGTAATGTATTTTAAAAAAAACACAAAGTTTAAGAACTTGCATTATGCTAAATGTCCTTTGACCAGTAGCTGGCCACTAGGAGTGCCTTTGATGTTGCTATAAGATCTTCCATTGTGCATGTGGCAGAGCTCAGACTACATTGTAATAGGTGGTCTGTGGATTGCTCTTCTCGACACTCGCATGTCGTGGACTCCACTTCATGGCCCCATTTCTTAAGGTGGGCTCTGCATCTCGTGGTGCCAGAGCACAGTCTATTCAGCGCCTTCCAAGTTGCCCAGTCTTCTGTGTGCCCAGGAGGGAGTCTCTCATTTGGTATCAACCATAGGTTGAGGTTCCAGGTTTTAGCCTGCCACTTTTGGACTCGACTCTTGCTTGCTGAGGTGTTCCTGTGAGCATCTCTGTAGATCTTAGAAAACTATTTGAGTTAAAGTGTTGGTGTGCTGGCTGATATCCAAACAGGGGATGGGCCGAAGATGTTACTACCTTGGTCCTTTCATTATTGGCTGCTACTTCCCGGCAGATGTCAAGATTGGCTAAACAGTGTAATTTCTCTAGCCGTGTAGGGTAGAGACATCCTGTGATAATGCAGAATGTCACAGGATGCCTACGCACTACACCATTGGAGAAATTATATTATTTAGCCGGTATTGCACCAGTTCAGATAGTAAAGTGCTTATGAAACTGTCATTACTGTTGCCCTGACCTTCTGCAAATGGTTGTATTCTGCAACTGCCTTACTGTCTACCTTTCACATGTAGGTATGAACGATCAGGGAACAACATTAACAAAACAAAAGTGCTTCAAGATGCTCTGGAAAGGTCAGGAAGGAAAGACCTGGCTGATAAACTTCGGTGTCTCCATTGGGGCCATCAAAAGCTGAGTAACAGGGTGGAGCTGCCTTCTGCTTTTCCCTTTCTCATTACTGTTTATAAAACAATCAACAACCAAGAAGGGCTTAAGAAAATTAACCAGCTGGGTCACAAATGTTCCTAAGCAGCTGTAGGGAAGTCCACAGGAGAACATCTCTTGACTTAAAAATGTTTTGTGTGGTACTATTGCCATGTTTAAGGAGCATATGCCTCCTGGCTTTGGGTTTTACTCAATTATTTGATCAACATTAACATTGTAGTACTTTGATATGCAAATCTAAAATCTGCTATGATTTTTCATGCAAGAGAGAGATATCTAATCTACTATATATCTGAAGATTTTAATTACATATTATTGTTGATGATGGATGAATACTGAATTTTTATATATTTTTTAAAGATTACACTTTATGATGTTAAATAATAACCTTCTGATTTTAAATTTTAAATAAGAGCACACTGGAAAATACCTAAAAGCAGAATGGTTTTATCTAAAATGTAAATGGTGGCTGGTTTCGAAATTAGGGTTGAACATCACTGTATGGCAATGGGTTAAACCCTTCTGCCAGCAGGACTGAAAACTGATAGGTCGCAGGTTCGAATCCGGTGAGAGTGCGGATGAGCTCCCTCTGTTAGCTCCAGCTCCTCATGCAGGACATGAGAGAAACCTCTCACAAGGATAAAACATCAAAAACATCCGAGCGTCCCCTGAGCAATGTCCTTGCAGACGACCAATTCTCTCACACCAGAAGCAACTTGCAGTTTCTCAAGTTGCTCCTGATACGACAAAAAAAAAATATTATTCTGGCATGAAGCACCTTTGCATGCCCTTTTAGAATCAAAAGACTTCATGGGCCATCCAGTCCAACCCCCTGCCAAGAAGCAGGAAAACCGCATTCAAAGTACCCCCGACTGATGGCCATCCAGCCTCTGCTTTAAAACTTCCAAAGGAGGAGCCTCTTACATTATTCTGTAACATATGGATTAAATTATTCACTGGGAATTGTGTCCCATTGCATTAAGAGCCAAGTGCATTCTCCAAGGGCTGCCTATTGCTTCTTTTTTGCTCCCTGCGTTTGGTCACATGCCTTGAGTGACATCAGCCTTGGAGACTGAACCAAAACAAGCCTATTCCTGAACTCCTTTGAATCACAACATTAAAATCTTAGACAGGGAAACAGGAAAATAATGAAATGGTAGCTTGTTTAATGCTAAAACAAGTGTTTCCATTTAATTTTATAAATAAATAAAGAATGGGCCTTTTCATTTCACAATCCAGTCAAGAATCTGCTTGTAGAGACTTGCAACTATTTTCCAGATATTCAGCCAGAGATTCCATCTCTGCCGCTTCCAACAATTTGTTGATTAGTTCATCCAAGACCCCCTTGCCGCTTAAAATTCCCTATAAAAGAAAGGAAAGGTAGAAGGAACTTGTGAGCTGAGGTTCAAAATAAGATGGCATTCCAACAATAAAGGCTCTACTTGCTAGTACACATTCAAGCAGTTTGTAACATAAACTATTGCCATTTGTTGTCACCCTCAAAGGAAAGAGTTAGAAAGTCAGAATAAGATACATGGTTTTCACCAAGAGTGTTCTCTTTAGTCTTTGATATTTCCAAATAATAATACTGGACTAGACAGACAAATAAATCGACTGTTTACGACAGTTCACATGTGAATCTTTGATTTAGAAGAATATCCGAGATTTAGAAGAAATACCTTGATGTCACGAACTTCGTATGAGATCCTGTGGTCACTGACTCTGTCTTGACTGAAGTTATATGTGCGAATTCTCTCTGACTGAGATCTTGTCCCTAACTGTAAAAGAACATTTTGATTTGTTTCACAGACTTTTACACATTATTTCAGCGTGATCTTTGATTGAGTAACAAGAAAATTGTATGCTTTTTACATTGGATAATTTTTTTCATCTGAAAAATACTATTTTTCAAAAATACACTTCTGCCTCCATCTGTTGAAATGTCATACTTTTCTCTAATGGCTTTTAGTGTTGTTATATGCTTTATGATCATCAATGTAATTTGAGATTCATTGTTATTATTACCAATAGCACAACTGTGAAAAAGTTCCTGGATACCTAATCTGCATGTAAATGCATGGACGCAAGGGCTATCTTGAATATTCAGATGTGGAAAATAACTGGTTAAAATGACTTTAAAGAGAAAATATAACAAAATTAAAAATATCCGCAAGATGTTGGTGGTGGTGGTGATGATGATGATAACTAAGTGTAAAGTAAAGGTTTCCCCTGACATTAAGTCCAGTCGTGTCAAACTCTGGGGAGTGGTGCTCATCTCCATTTCTAAGCTGAATAGCCAGCATTGTCCATAGACATCTCCAAGGCCACATGGCCAGCATGACTGCATGGAGTGCCGTTACCTTCCCACCAAAGCGGTACCTATTGATCTACTCACATTTGTATGTTTTCGAACTGCCAGGTTGGCAGAAGCTGGGCCTAACAGCAGGAGCTCACCCCACTCCCTGGATTCAAACCACCAACCTTTCAGTCAGGAAGTTCAGAAGCTCAGCAATTTAACCTGCTGCACCACCAGGGCAGATTATAAGAAAGGAGGTGGTCCTTTTGGTAACCTGAACCAAACTCATGTAGGGCTTTAAAGATCAAAACCAACACTTCATACTTTGCCTGGAAACAAATTGGCAACCAGTGGAGTGACTTTAATATGGGTGTAATATCTTCACTCCAATGTTTTGAACTTGCTACACAGGTAGTCCAATGTAAAGCACATTACAGAAGTCCAACCTTGAGGTTACCAGTGTATAAAATACCATCTATAGGTCCTGCAAATCTAGAAAGGAGTGCAGCTGGCGTATCAGCTGAAGCTAGTAATAAGAACTTCTGACTGTCACATTTATCTGGGCTGACAAAATGACACACCTCCATCCCTAGGTTAGGACCCTTAATGGCAAGTAATGGATTCATCTTTCCATTTGTTTTTCTTCATTACCTCCTCCAAGCATTCATTCAGAGTAGACCTGCTATTGAGACCTGCTATTCATTCAGAGTAGACCTCACCTCTGAGGATGCTTGCCATAGATGCAGGCGAAACGTCAGGAGAAATGCCTCTAGAACATGGCCATATAGCCCGAAAAAAACCCACAAGAACTGAGACCTGCTATTATTAGCTAATGCTGTTTTGGAAGTCATGGATAAATATATTTGGATGTCATCAACATATTGAGCTCCCGTTCCATGCCTCCAGATGACCTCTCCCAGTGCTTTCATGTAAATGTTAAAAATCACTGGAGATAAAATGGCGCCTTATGGGATGCCACATAACAACTCCTTTTGTGAGGAGCAGCTATCCCCAAGCACCACCATCTGGAACCTGCCTGAGTCATACAACTGGAACCACTGCAACAAAAGGGTACAATGGTCGATGGTATTGAATGCTGCTGAGATCTAAAAGCACCAACAGAGGCACACTCCCCCTCTCAGTGTTAAATCAGAGATCATCCACTAAGACAGCAGTTCTCAACCTGTGGGTCTCCAGATATTTTGGCCTTCAACTCCCAGAAATCCTAAACTGGCTGGGATTTCTGGAAGTTGTAGGCCAAAACTCCTGAGGACCCACACGTTGAGAACCACTGCACTAAGGCAACCATACCCATCTTGCCTCTGTATCCTGTTGTGAAGTCAGTTTAAAATAGGTCAAGGATACTTTTATTGGTATACGTTTCTAGGAGGGGAGAGGGGGTGTTTACTAATTACATCTGGATTAGTGATAGCAGTGCATACTTTCTGAGATTGCACAACCTGAATTCGAAACACGACAAAGTTAAAAGTGCTGCTGGTGGAGTGGACTGTATGAATCCCAAAGAAGGAACTTCTCACATTGACCTTCTCACATTGACCTCACATTGGGTACTGAACCTAGCTCAAGCATGACGAAGGATATGCTCAGTCAATTATGGCTGTTAGCACAGCCTTATCTCCATACACCAAAAAAGAATACCTTTTTATGAATATGGACTGTGATCTTACCTGCATCTTTCTGGCACTCTGCTTCTGACTTAGTTCTCTCTCAATGGCCTGTTGGTACAACTTTTCTTTCAGTGCCTGCATAGCTCTTTCCCTGTTCACTTGTTGAGATCGTTCTTGCTGGCACTCAACAGTTGCCCCTTCAGAATGAGAGAAAACATCCATTTAGCCATCTCATCTCATCAGAATAATTTATCCTGATTTGTTGAAATCCTATATTTTGGGAAATTTTAGGTTTTTGACTATAAACTTCTTTCCGCCCTAAGAGTTACAATTTAAAAAAGCAAGTATGAAAGGACTGTTTAAATATAGTCTACTGAAAAGGTTTTTGTACAGTGCCAAAATTATGTTAAGAACCACCAGAGGAGCCCAATGACTGAGCCGCCAATGTTATTGTAATTGTTCATGTAAAGAGGGGAATAATTGTTTTTTAAAATGTAAGAACATACCTGTGGGAATGTGTACAATTCTTACAGCACTATCTGTTGTATTAACGTGCTGTCCACCTGCTCCTTTGGCACGAAATGTATCAATGCGCAGATCTCTTGGGTCTATTTTAATATTTATCTTGAGGGAAATAAAGAAGGAACACTTTTAGTTCATTATGTTAAATGATGTTATATATAAGAAACCCTGGTGGCACAGCGGGTTAAACCACAGAGGTGCTGGACTTGCTGACTGAAAGGTTAGCGGATTGAATCTGAGGAGCGGGGTGAGCTCCCACTGTCAGCCCCAGCTTTTGCCAACCTAGCAGTTCAAAAACATGTAATTGTGAGTAGTTAAATAGGTACCACTTCAGCAGGAAGGCAGTGGCACTCCCTGCAGTCATGCCAGCCACATGACCTTGGTGGCGACTATGGACAATGCCGGCTCTTCGACTTAGAAATGGAGATGAGCACACACACACACCCCTCCGCAGAGATGGACACAACTAGACTCAATGTCAAGGGGAATCCTTTACCTTTACTATGAGATTATATGTTTCATAGATTCAACGCAACTAGGTACATAAAAGATACACCATTGCAAATAATTATCACAGGATCACTCATATCTGATTATGAGTATTTTTCAGAGGCAAGAGGTGGTGGGTCCATAAGTGACTGTGACAACTTAATCTGGATCTGCATGGTCTTTCATAATTAGGACATAGATTTGCAGATGAAGGCAGTCCCAACAAGGGTTTGCTTGACGTGCCTTCCTCTTGACATGTTTCTCCTATTTGTATCTCTTCAAATTCCACAGCACTGTTGGTAATAGTTCACCACCAGTTACAATGCTGAAGGACCAGGGCTTTCCAGTTCTCTGTGCTTATACCACATTTTAAGCCATTTTTAAATCTCTTTTGCTGCCCAGCAACATTCTGTTTTCCATTCTTGAGCTGAGAATAAAGTAGCTGTTTTAGGAGATGGTGATCCGGCATCACATGAAAGTTACTCCATTCCAAGTGTTCATGGCATCTTCCAATATGGAGATTATGGACATGGCAACACATATTTTTATTTAGAAACTAACTTTGAGGGAGTAAACTATCCAGATATACTATACATTTTTTTTTCGTGACAGGAGTGACTTGAGAAACTGCAGGTTGCTTCTGGTGTGAGATAATTGGTCATCTGCAAGGACATTGCCCAGGGGATGCCTGGATGTTTTGAGGTTTTACCATCCTTATGGGAGGCGTTTCTCAAGTGCCCGCATAGGAGGCTGGATCTGACAGAGGGAGCTCATCCATGTTCTCTCCAGATTCGAACCTCCGACCTCTTGGTCTTCAGTCCTGCTGGCAAAAGGGTTTAACCCACTGTGCCACCAGGGGCTCCTACACAAAATGAAAACCTGTCATGATAAATTATTATATTTACCTCTTCAAGCTGCGGAAGGACAATAACTGACATGGTACCAGTGTGGATTCGCTGCATTCTAGAAGATAAACCAGTCTCAGGGATTCGCTGTACCCTGTGAATGCCTCCTTCGTATTTTAAATGTCTATAGACATCGTCTCCAGAAATATAAGCAGCTGCATGGTGTAGTCCACCTTTGAAGATAAATAAAATGCATCACATGTGGTTCAAGAGGACGAGGCAATCCTATTAAAGTCATCCAGGTACCTTGTGCAATAGAATATCCCAATACCATATTCATATGGAGTGTATTTCCTAATTTCAAAGGTCCAGCATTTATAATCCGCATAGTTCTGGTACATGTCAAATACCTCCTTGGTAAATTGCTGACAAATGTCACCTGAAACAGAAGAGTTTTCTGTGAAAGTTACTGAAAGGTTAATACCACCATTAAAATGAATGCTGACATTAAATCAGCATAATCAATACTAATATCTTAGTCTACCTAAACTGATATCACTAATGGAAATTTTAAAACAAAACACTGACAAAATAAGAATTAAAAATGTCTAAATGTAGCTTATCAAAACAGAAGGATAATTTGTTAATTTTTTACTGACCTCCGGTTGTTCTGCCAGATGTCACTTCTAATATAACATCACATTCATCATATTTATCCCTGGGTATCAAGATCCGGAAAAGCTGAAGAAGAAGAATAAATCACATAATGCCGGAGGCATTCTTTTTACAATTACATCAACAGCTGATTTCCTGGGGACTTGAATCTCCATATGGAACGCAACAACAAAAGACACTCTACAAAGTCACATGGCAGAAACACCCCAAAATTAATTTGTTCTGCACCAGTTGTTCAGGAACAAGTTCACAGAAATATCTTACATACTCAGTTCTATAATCCACTGCATCACAACATGGAAGCACGGGTTTCTGTTCTATATTCCCACTATAACGCATATGCTAGGTTGCATCAACTGTTATAGCAAGGTAACAAAAGCTCTTCTTTGTTAAAGTCCAGGTTACCACACAACGGCCCAGCTACTTTCCCCCCCTTCACAGTCCCTTAGACTTGGAAGATCTCCACATCTGTAATCTACTTTCTCCTCAAAAGCTAGAAAAATGGATGCCTGCTTATTCTCATTTGCTAAAACCTCAGCTGGAGTCCTTTTAGATAAGGGTGGGTGATGTGTCCTCCTCCAGATGTTTGTAGACCCAAACCCCTATCAGGAAGGAAGTAGGTATAAAAGGGAGCCCGCCATTTTAAAAGCCACCAGGAAAGTAGATAGTAACACAAGTATATTAACAGCATATTACTCAATTCAGAGGCATGAATAGGAACCTGAACATTATGCTGACAGTGGATCACTCAGGTTCTGATTATTTTATAGTGTCCAGAAAAGATTCAGTAACCTGGCTAGCTTTTTATTTATCGTGTCAGGAGCAACTGGTAGTTGATTAAATGTCCTTTGACCAGTATCTGGCCACTTGGAGTGCCTCTGGTGTTGCCGCAAGGAGGTCCTCCATTGTGCATGTGGCAGGGCTCAGGTTGCATTGCAGCAGGTGGTCAGTGGTTTGCTTTTCTCCACACTCGCATGTCGTGGATTCCACTTTGTAGCCCCATTTCTTGAAGGTTGGCTCTGCATCTCGTGGTGCCAGAGCGCAGTCTGTTCAGCGCCTTCCAAGTCGCCCAGTCTTCTGTGTGCCCAGGGGGGAGTCTCTCATTTGGTATCAGCCATTGGTTGAGGTTCTGGGTTTGAGCCTGCCACTTTTGGACTCTCGCTTGCTGGGGTGTTCCAGCCTTGTACCTGGTTAGCTCAAAGTTATTCTTAGGCCATCTTCTATTAAAACTAGAGACCTTTTAGATAAGGGTGGGGAATGTGTCCTCCTCCAAATGTTTGTAGACCCAACCCCTATCAGGCCCAGCATGTTTGTCCAACAGGCATGGATGATGGGCATTGTTGAATTTGATCATATGCTCCCATCTGTTTTGGAATCAAACCAAAAATACTGACTGGCAGAATCTGCAGGCATGCCAATCTAAACTGGGTATGTTTAACCTGAAGAAGAAAGGACTGAACAGTGACTTGACAGTCCTCAAGTATTTGAAGGGATGTTGCATAGATGATGGAAAGAGTTTTGGGCTGCTCCAGAAGACGTGGCCTGAACCAGTGAATTTGAATGACAAAAAGTTTTCATCTAAACATTAGCAAGTTTCTTTGTTGAAAATGTTCAAACAAAGCCTTGGTAGCCAGCTATGGTTTAGGTGGAAATTTCTTAAATTATCAGGGTACTTTAATTTCCTTCTAACTCTACTATTCCTTACATAGTAGAGCACAAGAAATGAATGCTGAAATAGTAAATCAAAAAACAACTTATGGTAGGATGAAATACATACTGAACTAAAGAGAACCCTATAAATAATTGGACTACATCTGCCAATCGGGAGGTAGTGAGTTCTATTTGTGGGTTCACAATAAAACAGAAAAAAGCCAAATGGTCCAAAGTTTGCAATTGATTTTGGTTTTTCACAAATCAATTGCAAACTTCTCTGTCAACAAAAAGCTTTTCACCTAGGCACTGAACACTCTGGTAGTAGTACTTACTTACTGGTTCTGCAGTACTGGTAATTGCTAACATTAGATAAAGTAAAGGTAAAGATTTCCCCTTGACATTAAGTCTAGTCATGTATGACTCTGGGGGATGGTGCTCATCTCCATTTCTAAGACGAAGAGGCAGCATTGTCCATAGATGCTTCCAAGGTCATGTGGCTGGCATGACTGTATAGAGTGCTGTTACCTTACTACTGGAGCAGTACCTATTGATCTACTCACATTTGCATGTTTTGAACTGCTAGGTTGGCAGAAGCTGGGGCTAACAGCGGGAATTCACCCCCCTCCCAGGATTCAATTCACCAACCTTTCAGTCAGCAAGTTCAGCAGCTCAGTGCTTTAACCCGCTGCACCACCGGGTTAAAGTTAACTTTAGACGTGCATCACTTTGCAAGACAGTAATTCCGTTTTATCAACCCCTTATGTCCATAAGAGGTATGGACACATAACATAAATTATAATAATGAAATGTATGAAGATACAGCCCTTCATTTATATTTTTAAAATATATGATTTATGACTTATTTTACATAGGCACAGAGGTTTCTCGTTACATTTGCATGACACTCCTCCATACTGCAGCTGACACACTAATGTGTCACAACACACAGTTTAGAAAGCTCTGGATCTAGTATATAAAAAGGCACAGATCTTCAAAATTCAAATGGGTTTTCATGAATTCATCATAATGCCACATAATTCTTTGGATGCTGTTCTTTGTGCATATTTCAACTGGTTGTCTCATGCTCTAGTGACATCCCATTGGATTGATCTTCCACTACTTCAATAAGCAATAACATTCTGTGCTAGTTTCTGACTTCAAAGCAACTGATTCAGATGTACAAAGCTCCTAACACGATACAAGGGGATTACCACATCAGGAAAGAGCATTTAAACCACAAGACTAAAATTTAGCCCACTGCTCACCTTTTGATAAAGATCACGAATCTTCTGGTCAATAACTGCCCTTTCCTCAATGGCAAGTTCAAGGAGTGCTTCCTCTTCTGAACTGTTGAGCTCTAGGATCAGAGGGAAGAAATATATATTAAGCAGTTCTATGAAGCTTGAGGCAAATAAGATGCATCCAAACTTATATATTACTCACACACAACTCTTGTTCCCCACAAACGCTTGACTAGAATTTAAATTTGGAATTTGCACCCCTGTGTACCTAAACATATTGATGTAGCATGTCTCAGAAGCAACAGGTGAAGAAAACCTTGAAAAGGTGTTTTATACAACCACTCATTTTCAGGACCATAAGAAAAATGAGTATTTAATTCTGCTACAGTTTAGCAGTTAGAGGGTATTGCTAAAGGTTTCAACAGGTATAAAAAAAGAGACATATCCCAACAACCACCTCTTTCCTCCCCAAAGAGGAAAATGTTATAAGGAGAAAAATCTATTATTTGTCACTGGTTGCTGGGTAAAAATAAATAAATAAATACCATTTATTTCTAGCACACCAGATGTTTTCTGTAAGTGTCCAATTTGTCTTTTAAAAAATTAACTGGGGCATTCAGTAACAGCTGGAAACATCTCTCCAATTACAGGTTGTGCCTTTGTTGATTTACTTTACAGCAGTGGTTCTCAACCTGGGGACCCCAGATGTTTTTGGCCTTCAACTCCCAGAAATCCTAACAGCTGGTAAACTGGCTGGGATTTCTGGGAGTTGTAGGCCAAAAACATCTGGGGACCCCAGGTTGAGAACCACTGCTTTACAGCGAAATGTTGGTTTACATGTGTCGCATAGCATGGTCCTTCAGCTGTTCCACTGTGCTCCCAATACAGGCACAACCTCTCGATATGTCCTGAATTGTCCAGGTTATTTGGCTGATCACATCTCCCTACACCAGTGTTTCTCAACCTGGGTCCCCAGATGTTTTGGCCTTCAACTCCCAGAAATCCTAACAGCTGATAAACTGGTTGGGATTTCTGGGAGTTGTAGGTCAAAACACCTGGGGACCCACAGGTTGAGAACCACTGCCCTATACAAACCTGACTGGGCCCTGAGATCCTCAGGAGAGGCCCTTCTCTCAGTCCCACCTCCATCTCAAGCTCGGTTGGCGGGAACAAGAGAGCGAGCCTTCCTTCTCAGTGACTACCCCATGATTATGGAATTCCCTTCTTCCCTGGGAAGCCAGAATGGCCCCCTCCCTGCTGACCTTCCAGTGGCAGACTAAAACCTTTTTTATTCAGACAGGCTTTTAAAGGAGTTTTTTAATATCAAGTCAAGAGGTGCTGTGGTTTTAGTTATATAAAAAGGTTTAAAATTGGTTTTAAAGATTTTGAGTCTTTATTTTTATTACTGTTAATAATTAATTGTATTTTAATGTTTGTATATTTTAGGTTTTAAATTATATTGTATTGATTTTATCATGAGTTGCTGAGGAGGAGGAGGAAGAGGAAGAAGAAGTCATCACTTGTCCTCAGCTGCAAATAAACCAAATACAGGGGGACAATTCAAACGCGTGGTAGTTCAAGAATATTGAATGTATCAAAAATCAGAAAATAAGTCAGTGCCTTTTAATGAATCCTAATATGTATTTGCATCTATAAATGAAGAGTAGGCTTATGCACAGATTCAGAGTGGCCGGTTCCCTTCAGCTAATCTGGCTGATCCGGCTTGTTCAGCTGGCCATAACGGCAAGGGCTCTGACTCCATGTATTTTTTTCGGCCACAACAGAACAGTGGCTGTCGAAAATTGGCCGCCTTCAGTTACAAGTAGAGTGCAAGAGGGAGGCAATCACTAGAAGGAAAAGTATGAGGGCGAAAATGGCAAGGCACCACTCCAGGTCCTGCAAATCAAGATTAAAAATAGGGCTTTAAAATAGGGAAGCTCAGGGTTGGATATCTCCACGCTTGTCGCTCTTTCTTCCCTGCCCTGGGAAGTGGGGATTCAAGCCTCCTAGAAATGCCTTGGAAAGTTGCATGCTGCAGGGAGGGAGGGAATGCCACACACTCCTGTCTTCTCTAGAGTAGAAACAGCTTTAACGAAGAATTAAACCCAGTCTTTTCTACAGACAGAAGGGAAAGGATCACAAAAGGAATGCTGCCTTAACTCTGATGCTTTAAATCTAGGTATTAATGAAGGATATAAGGACAAACAATGCCTTAAATGAAGAGAAGGAGATCCTGGAAAGTTCCTCTCCCATAATGGGCTGAATAGAAAACAAATATTTCGGCTTCCCTGATTGAAAACAGATTTCTGTCCTCCCAAATTCGGGAGTCTCTCAAAAAAACGGATCGGAACCCCCCATCAAAATCCAGGACACCGAAATAGATCGCAGTTTACCCGGATTGCAAAAGTCTAATGCAGAGTATATTTAGACTGTTCTCTTACTTCAACTAGAAGAATCCATGAGCTTCTGAAGAACACAGGGGGGCAGAAAAGAGCCAGAAAAGCAAAAAGAAAGGGAGTAAAAAAGGAATAGACGATAGATGAAGCTGGGAGAGGAGCTTTGCAGAACAGATGCAGAACTTACTTGCACACAGTGCCTCCAAATCCTGCATTTCTTTTTGTGCTTCTTGTATTTCTTTAAACGACACCACAAGTGGGAACAATTCAGCATGTCTTTTACTGAGATCTCTTCTTCTGTATTCATTAATTGAGCTATCGTTTAGCAACTGACCAATACTTTGGTATTCTTGGCTGACATTCTGTAAGTGCTTTTGCAGGGCTTCGTGATGCCATAGCATTCCTGGGGCCTGGTGATACCTTCTTGGGCAGTTTTTAAACGTATTCCACAAACAGTTGTGCTGAATGATATTCACGTCTGTGAAATTAGTGGTCCTTTTAGCAAGTGAAGGAAGATGGCACCGTTGATGACAGCAGTAGCACTTCGCAAATATCCTTAAAACAGGGATTCTTTGGAGAAGTTTCATCTGGAATGTTAAAAAACCCAATCAAATAAATATATGGCTCATTTATGTCAAGTCTGCAGGTCACAAGCCTTGAATATAAAATATAATGTGATTAGTAGTAGTAGTAGTAGTAGTAGTAGTAGTAATTCTAGTAAAGATATATGCATATCTTTACAACGACCTGGCCACGGTGATCCAGGCTACGGTTATCTCAAGGGTGGACTATTGTAATGCCCTTTACATAGGCCTGCCTTCGTCGGTGATCCGGAAAATTAAACTAGTGCAAAATGCTGCTGCCCGGCTTCTTGCAGGGGTCCAGTGAGGTGTCATATCACTCCAATCTTGCAGCAACTGCACTGGTTGCCGATTGAGCACCGGATTACCTTCGAAGTGCTGATTCTTACCTTTAAGGCCTTCTATGGCCTGGGGGCGGAGTACCTGAGGGACTGCCTCACCCCCTACCAATCCCCTGAGATCACTTCGTTCAAATGATCAGAATCTCCTTGAAGTAATAAATAATAATAATAAGTAATAAATAAATAAATAAGTTCCCAATTTTAGGACCTTTCACCTGATGTCTACTAGGCGCAGAGCATTTAAGGTGGTGGCTCCGTACTTGTGGAATGCCTTGCCAGCTGGAACACGAGCTCTCCGAGATTTACTATCTTTTCGTAGAGCTTGTAAAATTTATTTATTCAGGCTGGCATTTGAACCTTGCTGATTGAAGTTTTTCGTGACATTATATATAATGTATTACATGTGTATATTGTAAACTGCTCTGAGCCTTCGGGGAGTGGCGGTATATAAAATTGATTAATAAATAAATAAAATGTGAAGTCTACATCTTACAAAATGCCAACAGATTAGTGTATACACCAGGCAAACTTCAGCACTCCAGATGTTTTGAACTTCAACTCCCACAATTCCTAACAGCCTACCAGCTTAAGCGTCTGAAGGGGAAAAGGAAAGGGCCTGAAGCTGTTAGGAATTGTGGGAGTTGAAGTCCAAAACACCTGGAGGGCTGGAGTTTGCCCATGTCTGATATTTGGTAGGGTGGCTTGGCATGTCTATTCTAAATATGAGAGACCAAGTAGGCAAGGCGGTACCTTTCATATGAAGCCAGCTTTTGCAGGACTCAGGAGAGAACTCTTCTCTTAGAGAGGCCTGGGGAGACCGGGCAAGGAAACCCCTCCCACTGCTGCACAAGGGAAGTGGAGAGGAAACGTCACTTCCCGTCAACTCTACTAGGAACTACGATTCCCAGAGTTCCTTGAGCGCCTGTCCTTAGGTAACCTCTTCCTTGCCAATGTTATGCAGACCTCTGATTCACATCACTTGAAAGAAAGGGTTGGGAAAAAGGAAAGAAACGTGGCAGCACGTTAAAGACTGCTTTTTTCAAAATGTAGTTTGTCTGATAGCTCATTTCTTTGGAAGCGAGCATTATTATTAACCTACGACATATGAATGCGAAAATATTATTATTATTAATAATAATAATAATAATAATAATTTACTGACACAAAAACACAGTATATCTCGTTTGTTGTAACATATTATGTTTTTGTATCATTAAAATAATAATAATAATAATAATAACTTTAGTTTAGCATTCATATGTCATAGGTTAATAATAATAATTGCTTCCAAACAAGTGAGTTATTATTATTATTATTTACACCCGAATGCCATCTAACCTTGGAAAGTAAGCAGGACTTGGATGGGAGACCCCCAATAAATATTATATAATATATATAAAAATTATAATAATATATTAGAGAGGGAGCCCCTTGTGATGCAGTGGGTTAAACTGCTGAGCTGCTGAACTTGCTGACCAGAATGTTGGCGGTTCGAATCTGGGAAGCGAAGTGAGCTTCTGCTGTTAGTCCCAGCTCCTGCCAACCTAGCAGTTCGAAAACATTCAAATGTGAGTAGATCAATAGATACCACTTCTGCAGGAAGGTAATGGTGCTCCATACAGTCATGTAGGCCACATGACATTGGAGGTGTCTATGGACAACGCTGACTCTTTGGTTTAGAAATGGAGATGAGCACCAATCCTCAGAGTCGGACACCACTGGACTTAATGTCAGGGGAATACCTTTACCTAACAGCAGTTTTAGAAAAAAGAGAAAGAGAGAGAGAAACTGCTTTTCATTTGTTTTGGTTTTCTTAGATTATTTTTATTGTATACTAGCTTGGGTCCCCGACGTTGCCTGTGTTATTTGAAAAAGTCAATTTTTTAATTGTACAAAAAGCATAAGGTTGTGGGTGAACTACAACTCACATCATGCCAGGTTAACTCCCTGAAGCTCCATCAGTACTTTAAGTTTGTTATGTTGAGCAAGTTTGCTCTAGATTGGTTGGGTTCGGTGTTCTCTTTGGCTGTAGGGTTTTTTTTACTAAACTCAGATGATCATATTCCTGTTGCATTAACATTAACAATCCCCTCCTTAAAAACTAATGCTGCTTATGAATCACTTTTTCTAAACATTTCAATACTTCATTTATACATTAAAATGCAGTTTGACATTTCAATTATTTTTCTTTTTGAACTCTAGTGGCAGGGAGTTCCATATAGCTTTTTGCATTTTGTCACTTTTTCATTTGGTTACGTACAAAAAATTCAAGTGCATCTTCAATTCACACCTTTACATACATATTATTCAAAAATCACTTAAATTCAACAACAATGACATTTTTGGTCCTGTTTTCTTTACCATTTTTCTTTTGTGTATATTGTGTGCCTGACTGTATTCTGTCACTAGCTAGGGGGAATCATACCTCTTTTCAGTCTCACACTTTGACTTTTTTTGTCTTCTTGGCTCTTTTCACATAAGACTTGCATTCTTCATTCCCCTCTTACACTCACCTTTTTGAATACCTCTTGAATTTCTGCTGTCTACTCTGCAGAAAACAGCCATTCTTTCCTCTTGTTTTTTCTATGGAAGATATCTCTCATTGGCATTCCACTTTCACCCTTCTGCATTGTTTCAATTGCTCTTTACATTCTTCAGCTTGCACACACGTTTCAACTATGCTGCTTAAAGTGGCTGATTTGTACGTGTTCATTTGTACTCCCTTTGTAGCCTTTCAAGGATGTTGTTACTTTGTCTGTTATATACTCTTTGCCTGTCACATGGTTGCGCTGTTCATCTTTCAAACACACTTTTGTTTCTGGACACGTTTCCTTCATTTCTTCTGACACAATCATTAACTTTTTCATTATGGCAATTCAGTTCCATACATTGGCATTCAAACACTCATGTTACTCTCACTCATATTTTCCCCCTCCTATCCTCATTCTGTTCAACAAATCACTCATGTGATTTGGGGGACAAGAAAATCATCTTCCTCTCTTGGAGGTGTTTTGCCTAATCTTGGGATTCTGAATGGTGGCAACAAATCTTGCTCACTCATTCTTCCACAAGCCCCCTCCATTTCATGTTCTTTTTTTTTTACAGAGCTTTTGGGGATTGCGATTTTCTGTGTTTGGGTGTCCTGCTTTTGGAGTGTCTTGGTGAATCTGTGTGGTACCACCTGATAGAGCTGACAGATGGGAGCTCACTGATCTTGCACATTTGAACCAGCAGACTTCAGATCAGCAACCCAACCTTCAGGTCAGTGGTTCAGCCAGCACAAGGATCTAACCCATTACATCACTGCAGTTCCATGGCCAAAGGATGATTATCCAAGAAACTGGCTTCAAACACTTTCTTTGCTCTAAGCTGCTCTTTATCTTTATTTACATTTCAGTCATTACAATAGCACTTATTCGTTAGCATGGGCACAACAAAAGAGACTGAACAATGGCAATTGCTTACATTTTATACTGACTCTTATCAGCTCATTAATGCAGAGTCCAGCATGCCAGTAGTTATGAAACTTACATGCTCTACATTACATTAGATGAACTCAATGTTGGCATCATTATTTATTTATTTATTTACAGTATTTCTATCCCACCTTTCTCAGCCCGAAGGTGACTCAAGGCAGCATACTTATGAGGTCCACCACATCTCAGAGAGTCAATAAAAAGAAAACTTCCATTGGTTGTCTCACATGAGTGATGTGGGGGAGGGAAGGGAGAGGAGAGGGGAAGGGGAGGGGAGATGGATAGAGGAAGAGAAAATGAGAGGGAAGGAGAAGGGGAGGGTTGGAGGGGAATTGGGCACTTGGACTTTTGCCACAACTGGACACACATCTCATAATATAGCAGATACCAAGAATTAAACCTCATTGCCAACAAAACAGGGCTGGGACTTTCTTGGCCATATGTGTGACCATTCTATCATGGCACAGGTAAGATTGAGATACAAAATGAGAAACTGACCTAAATTGCTACCATGTGCCAACCAGTTTTACCTTTTAAGTGGTGCAAATGAAAAAAAAAACAGCCAGTCTCTTCTTTGTCACTCACAGCACTGTGTTAACCAGGTAAACCAGTGGTCCCCAACTTTTTTTTCAGGAATCACGTGACCAGCGACCACTTTAACCAGAGATCGCTCTCCAACATTAGTACCAAAAGACTTACACATCAGTTTTTGGTAAACTTTAGATTTGGTTTGGTTATTTTGAATGCTGATTCAGAAAATCACATTGGATAGAATACATCAGCTCTAGTCTCTAATACAGAACATATGCCATCCAGCAGTCGCCATCTGCTCGCCCACAGAAAACCATATTTAATAATTGAAAACTGATGTCGTCTATCCAAGGGGGCGGGACTGGTCAGCGACAGAGAAGAAGTGGTAGACACAAAAAGAGCAGAAATAAAATAAAATAAAGAGGAAGGAGGCTGGCGGACAGGATTTTCATCCTTGCAGTCACCCACAGGTTAAGAACCACTGGTGTAAACCCATGGCATTTGAGCTTCCTAAGCAAACCTTTTTCAGAAAAAGAAGGCTATGTTGGCACCAGGAGAGTGGACGTCCTAGTTTGCAGGCAGAAGGTAGCTTATCTATGCAGACTTTTTGGGATTTCGAGCTGGTGGGGGAGTAGGAAAAAAAAGAAAAAGACAGTAGAACCATCCTCTTCTTCTTCCACTTGCATTCCAAGACAGTTTGGATAGTGTCTGCACAACACTAGCCAACATACTGTGATTTCCATTTTAGTGAACATATAGCCAGGAGTGCTCAAATATCCAGACACTTGAGGAAACGAATAGGCATCAGAAGTAAGGACAATGCCTTCGCATAGCATTTCTCCAGATTCAATGTGGCTCTCACTACAGGTTGTGTTGTCGCTTGCTGTCTCTGCAAATTCACCTTTCTCTGACCGGGAGTGATATGGCTAGAATGCTAGCTGAAATCTTTGCTTCACCCATAAGGCTTGCGGGGCTTGGCTGCCCAAGCTGTGCACCTGCAGAAAGAAACAGAGGGGTGAATGCCTCATTGCCCCCATCAGAAAGTTCACAATATGAGAAAAGGGCATGGAAAATCAACTGCTTTTAAGCAGAGGCTGGATGGCCTTTTGTCAGGGGTGCTTTAAATGCAATTTTTCTATTTCTTGGCAGGGGGTTAGACTAGATGGCCTACGAGGTCTCTTCCAATTCTATGATTCTATGACCTCTATCTCTTGGTCTGCATTTTGACAAAACAAACCTAAAAATGAGACTTTATTTGGAGATATTTCATTTCTACTGGGAGAATTCTGGCAATTGGTTTGACTTTTGAATGAAAGCATGTCTCTTCACGAATATGTCTAGAATGGGGCCAGAGTCTGCCCTGTTGTCATAGAGCATGGCATGATGTTTCAGATTTCCTCCCCATTAAGGTTTCCATTGGAATCCAGGGTCTTGCAGCTACTGGAAAATCTCTTGGACAATATGGGAGCGTTCTCCTCCAATGAAACAACAAACATCAATGGAGAATGAAGCTCCTTCGCCTGGTCAGAATTCCAGCAGGAAAAAAGGTGTAGAAGACTGCTGTGCCAGGAACCCAGCCACCCCAATATAAGCTGTTTCAATTAGCCAGAGAAGGAAATGCAAACACTACTGTGTTGCATTTAACTCACATGTAGGAAACACATCTGAGGAACAAGGCGTTGATCAAGGAGCTCTGATTTCAGTATCAAGCCACTTGCGATCTTCTCCTGGTAAAGTCCAGAGGAGGCTTCCACATAAATGCCAGGAGCTGCCGCTGAACGCGCAAGGAGTCCGGAGGAGCCAATGTCCCATAAAGTCCCAGTGTCAAGTTCCACTCAGATCCAAG